CACACACACACACACACACACACACACACACACACACACACACACACCTGTTTTCTCTTACATCCCTGAGCCCCCAGACTTGAGGCTGGAAGGGTGTCCCAGCCCCTCCCCCTCTGTGCTCCTAGGCTGAAATCTGCAGTTCTCCTCTTTCTTTTCTCATCCCCCGTAACCCGCATGCTCCCCACTGAGAAACCCGGTGCTTGCATGGGAGCACTGGCCTCTGGAGTCTCAATGCTTTACTTTAGTCCATCCTAACTAACCACGTTATCTCCTTGGGTTGGGGGGTGGGTTGTGGCAGGGCTGGGGTTGAGGCACCTGCAGCGCCACCACATTATAGCTCAGAAAGGAAGCATTAATGGGGGAGCCGCACTGCAGCCCCACAACTGAGCTGTAACTTGTGGAGGACACCTCTGGTGTCCTGAGCTTCCAAGCAGCCCTTGCAGAAAGCTATAATTTCCATGCAGCCCGGCTGATGAATACTGTACCTAATAAAAACTGACCTCACTCAGGATGATCTTTTCTAGTTCCATCCATTTGCCTGCAAATTTCATGATGTCTTTTTTTTTTTTAATAGCTAAGTAGTATTCCATTGTGTAAATGTACCATAATTTCTGAATCCATTCTTCAGTTGAGTTACATCTAGGTTGTTTCCAGATTCTGGCTATTATTAATAAAACTGCTATCAACTTGGTTGAGCAAATGTCCTTGTATGGTTGAGCATCTTTCGAATATATGCCTGAGCTGGATCTTGAGGTAGCACTATTTCTAATTGTCTGAGAAAGCACCAGATTGATTTCCAAAGTGGTTGTACAAGTTTACATTCCCATCAGCAATGGAGGAGGGTTCACCTTTCTCCACATCCTCTCCAGCATGTGTTGTCCCTGGAGCGTTAGATCTTAGCCATTCTGATAGGTGTCAGATGGAATCTCAAGGTCGTTTTGATCTACAATTCCCGGATGACTAAGGACCTTGAGCATTTAAGTGGTTTTCTTTCTTTTTTCTTTTTAAGATGTATTTATTTATTATGTACACAGTGTTCTGCCTGCATATGTGTCTACACATCAGAAGAGGGCACCAAATCTCATTAGAGATTGTTGTGAGCCACCATGTGGTTGCTTGGAATTGAACTCAGGACTTCAGGAAGAGCAGCCAGTGCTCTTAACCGCTGAGCCATCTTCCCAGCCCCCTCTTTAAGTGTTTTTCTGCCATTTGATATTCCTCTGTTGAGAATTCTCCGTTTAGCTCTGTACCGATTTTTTTTTCTTTTATAAGTTGTCTTGGTCATTGTGTTTTTATTTTATTTTATTTTATTTTATTTTATTTTATTTTATTTTATTTTAATCACAGGTCATTCACTTGTATCTCAGCCATAGACCCTTCCCTTTTTCCCTCCCAATCCTATCCTCCCTCCCTCATCTCCTCCCTGCCCTCTTCCAAGTCCACTGATAGGGGAGGTCCTCCTTCCCTTCCATCTGACCCTAGCCTATCAGGTATCTTCAGGACTGGCTGCAATGTCCTTATCTGTGGCCTCTAAAGGCTGCTCCTCCCTCAGAGGGGAGGGGGAGATCAATGAGCCAGTCACTGAGTTCATGTCAGAAATAATCCTTGTCCCCCATACTAGGGAACCCACTTGGATACTGAGCTACCATGGGCTACATCAGAGCAGGGGTTTTAGGTTCTATCCATGCATGGTCCTTTGTTGGAGAAACAGTCTCATAGAAGACCCCTGTGCCCTGATAGATTTGGTCCTTGTGGAGCTCCTATCATGCTAACTCCACCTTCTTTCATATGATTCCCTGCACTCTGCCGAAGGTTTGGTTATGAGTTTCAGCATCTGTTTTGATACACTGCTAGGTAAAGTCTTTCAGAGGCCCTCTGTGGTAGGCTTCTGTCCTGTTACTTGTTTTCTCCTATGTCCAATGTCCATCCCCTTTGTCTTTCTAAGTGAAGATTGATCATCTTACCCCCGGTCCTCTTTCTTGTTTAGCCTGTTTAGGTGTACATATTTTAGTATGTTTACTGTATCTTATAGGTCTAGTACCCACTTATAAGTGAGTTTATACTGTGTGTGTCTTTCTGCTCCCGTGTAGTTAAGGGTAATCATAAACTCCTGATGTTCCTGCTTTCACTTCCAAGCACTGGGATTACAGGCATGTACTGCATATCTGTCTTATAATATCTTACTTCTTCTATCTAACTATAGCTTAGTACCCAGCTTATTGGCTTTTCTGCATCCTCACTTCCCATTCTAATGCACATTAAGCATTGCCCATTAAGAAATATGGATAGAGTCTGGTGAGGTGGCACACACCTTTAATCCCAGCACTCAGGGGGGCAGAGGCAGGCAGATCTCTGTGAATTAGAGGCCAGCCTGGTCTATAAATAGAGTACAGGACAGCCAAGGCTACACAGAGAAACCTTGCCTAGAAAGAAAGAAGGAAAGAAAAAAGAAAGAAAGAAACAAAGAAAGAAAAGAAGAAAGGAAGAAAGGAAAAAGAGAAAGAAAGATGAATAGGCCAGACATGATGGCTCATGCTCACAATCCCAGCACTCAAGTAGAGACAGAGTGATCAGAATTTCATGATCAGGATGGAGAGATCACAGTAAAGAGCAATCATTGCTCTTTCAGGGGACCTGAGTTCTGTTCCCAAGTTTAACAACCTCTATCTCCAATTCCAGGGGATCCAACACTCTTCTGGCCTCTGAGGACCCCTGCACACATATGACATACACTCACACAGATACATACACATAAATGAAATCAATATTTTAAAATTTCAATATTATAATTGTATTATATTCTAATGAAAAGTTCACAGCCATAGAGGCTTCAAATTCATGATGTCATCTACTCCTAATCACTTTCAAGGTCTCATCTCTAAACTCTGAACTGGGATTACATTCACACCTTCTCAATACCTCACAAAATGAATTATATTTCAATGTAAGTTTTTGGATGGGACCAACCACAGCAAATAGCATCCTGAGACCTGTCACTAACTCCTTCAATCACGTTCTGCTCTGAATTCTTTTTTCCTAGCTGAAGCCAGAATGACCTTTTCAAATTGCAAATGGGTTCTGGTCACTTCCTTACTCCCAACTTCTCACCGACTCTTCACCATCTAAGGGACCATCTCTCCAGCAGGCTCAGGTAGCACAGCATCTTGATATCATGGTGTTTTTTCTAGAATGCCATGTAATAGTTGATATGTTAAGTTACACCATAGGAAATAAAATGATTTTATTTATTTCTGTGAAGACACATATGGTATATACTCACTTATAAGTGGATTTTAGACATAATATAAGTTAAACATACTAAAATCTGTACACCTAAAGAAGATAAACAAGAAAGAAGATCCTGAGTAAGATGATCAATCCTCATTCAGAAAGGCAAATGAGACGGACATTGGAAGAAGAAGAAAACATGGAACAGGACAAGAACTTACCACAGAGGGTCTCTAAAAGACTCTGCTCTGCAGGGCATCAAAGCAGTTGCTGAGACTCATAGCCAAACTTTGGGCAGAGTGCAAGGAATCCTATGAAATAAGGGGAAGACAGGAAGAGCTGGGAGGGGGACAGGTGTTCTACAAGAAGAGCAACAGAACCAAAATATCTGGGCCCAGGGGTCTTTTCTGAGACTCATAATCCAACCCAGGGCCATGCATGGAGATAACCTAGAACCCCTGCACAGATGTAGCCCATAGCAGCTCAGTCTCCTAGTGGGTTCCCTAGTAAAGGGAACTGACATGAACTCAGTGGCCTGCTCTTTGATTACTTCCCCCCTGGGGGGAGCAGCCTTGCTAGGCCACAGAGGAAGACAATGCAGCCAGTCCTGATGAGACCTGATAAGCTAGGGTCAGATGGAAGGGGAGGAGGACCTCCCCTATCAGTGGACTGGGGGAGGGGCATGGGAGGAGAAGAGAGAGGGAGGGAGGATATGACTGTGAGGGGATAAGGGTGGGGCTACAACTGGGATAAAAAGTGAATAAATTGTAATTAATAAAAAATAAAAAAACAAAAGAATACTTCTATGAGTGGAAAATATGTCTCCATTATGTATGTGCAATATAAAATCATAGCCACAAGCACAGATGTCCATGAAAAGATAAACTGTTGAATTAAGCATGATCAGTGCTGGGACTGTTTAATATTCGTTTGCCACTCCTTCTTTCATTTTGTTGCTGGCTAGCTGATGAGCAGGAGCAGCTCTCATAGATTTAGGAAAGATTCACAGTTTAAAAATTGAAAAAGAAGATCCTACACATTAACTTTATTTTTTCATTTGCTCTGTGAGCATCCCATGTGTGCCAGGAACACATCCAGACACTGAATGGTCTCTCTGCTTAGCCAGCATAGCCCTGTGCACCATCACTCTGGAGCAAAAAAAATAAAAATAAAAATAAAAATAAAAATAAAATAACAAACAATTTGTTACTGCTAACACAGCTTTTCCAAACCTGGTTCCATCTTACCTTGCAGTCTCTATAGCCAGTCTCCTTGTCCCACCCCTTGTATCTAAGATCTAGACTTTCTTAAATAAATGCTCTCTTCCTTCCTTTATCTATCTATCTATCTATCTATCTATCTATCTATCTATCTATCTATCTATCTATCTATCTATCTATCTATCTTTGCAGTCCTAAGAATCAAATCCAAGTCGTCCTACATGCAGACACTGAACTATACTCACAACCTAGAGTCCTTCCTTCCTCCTTCCCTTCTTTCCTCCCTTTCTTTCTTTTTATTCTTCCAAATTTTATTTGTTAGTGTGTGCC